GGGCGGGCGGCAAACCCGTCCTCAGGCTGCTTCTTGTAGTGCGTTGAGAGTGTTATTCCTTGAGGAAAATCGTAGCTAAATTATTCCCACTTAAAGTCAACACTTAGCGCGCCAGTTACCCGAGGGGGCGGGCTGTCTGCGAGATGCGCTTCAGCTGCGTTTTGGAGGGGTGGGAGCGGGTCTCGGCCAGCACATAATGGCTGGAAAAGAATTACAGCTCCCGCAGATAAAGTTTCCAATTGAATTGAAGGACGTAATTAAGAAACTGTCCGGGCACGGGATCGGGTGTTTATATATTATCTCATTAGAGCAGAACCATTAATGTTACCTCTTAAGTGTAAAACGAGCCGTTAGGGCTGTAATTCGCCGCGGGGGACAGGGGACAGGGGACAGGCTTCCTGCGGGCCGGGGACCCAGCGATCGAATGTCACTGAACCAGTTCTCCTGGCGTTTTACCTTTTCCCGTCGGTCGGTGATTGGTGTCGCGGGCTGGTTTTTTAGCTGTGTTTTAACGGGCTCCAGGAGCTGGCGCGAAGGTGCTGTCCGAACGGTGTGGGGAGCAAGAGCTGGAGAGAGCTGCACACGGGAGCAGGGCTCGGCTCCCGGGCAAGGCTGGGGCGAGCGGGGCCGTGCGGCAGGGAGCCCGGCTGTCCCCTCTGCCTCCGTCCCCGCCGTGCACCGGAGGGCATCCCGCCCGTTCCTGGTGCGCTCCTGCTCTCGGGTCCGCGTCTTCCCACTAAAGAGGTGCTGCTGAACTACGGATTCAGACAGTGAAGTCAGATTTATTTTTCGGTTCTCACAACGTTTGTTCTTTAGTTTTTCTTTGTGTAAAAGTTCCCCAGACCACATAATTATCGCCAGCATGTACGAAAGAATGGTGTCATTTATTTTTGAAAAGGTGACATGCTTTCTATTTTCCCGGTTAAACGAACCGGCTCTGCGGCCCGGAGCTGCTCCCTTCTTCGTTTCTGGGGAGTCTGGAAGTGATGGACGTTTTCTGACCCGAAGGGGCAAAGGCAATGCAAAGAGGTCCTTGATCATTGAGCTGAGAATTGTAACCCTGGCCTGGCAGAAACTGGACCTGTATGGTTTCCTTTGATGTGTTTTATTATAAATGGCAAACAAAGCTGACTTCTGCCCAACACCCCTCGCGGGTGCATTCCTCCGCCCCCCCAGCACCCCCGGCAGGGAGGGGAGCCCCGTCCCGCCGCGCCAGCTCCTCTTTATTTTACCTCTGCTCGAGCACGTCCCCCTCGCCCGGGCTCTCGGGGAGGGGGGTGCGGGTGCGCCCCGAGGAGGGTGCGGGTGCGCCCCGAGGAGGGTGCGGGTGCGCCCCGAGGAGGGTGCCGGGCTCCCGCCGCCTCCCGGGACGCGGGCGGTGCCGGCGCTGCCCGGTCGCTTTTGTGCAAGCGGCGCGGAGGAGGTGGGACGCGGTTATTAGTATTCACGGCAGATGTATTTTCTTTAACGCAACGTCTTTATTCCAGTTGGTCTCTGACAGCAGAATCCGTTTCCCGATGTTATTTGCATTCCCTGTTTCATGGAGGATTAAAATATTTGTATTCTTCCAATCTGTACCGGGCAGACTAAATTAACTTTTTTTCCTTCCCCCATCCCTTTCTTCTTTTTTTTCTTTTTTACTTTTTCTTTTTTTTTTTAATAACACAATTATCTCATTTAACAATTTGCCTTAAAAAAAAAAAATACTGTGGCTCTTAGGTTGGTGGTCAGGAGACAAAGGGAGTGAAAATAATTTTCATTTCAATAATTGCCTTCTGGTCAATTTAACTGTGCCTTATTTTGAAAGAGCCTGTCTAAATGAGATTCCTGTCCCAAATGTGTTCCCAGGCCTTAGCCCAGCCTTTAATTATTCCTGAGTTTTTTTTCTTCAGAATAAGACGCTGCACTGAGTAATCACAAAGAAGTCAGAGAGCATCC